ATTAGGGTTGGAGCTAAACTGTGCAGAGCTGCGGCCCTCCAGGAATCCAGTTTGAGACCTATGATCTATATCATCTACTTACCCATCATTGGCTGCAGAACTTGCTGAGTTGAACCTGTTGAACAGAAGACAGAAACTCATGAAGCACTTGAAGGAGAGTAAAGTTAAACAATAAAAGGTCATCATTGGCAATACGTGATACATAAGATATACTATCTAAAACTGTCTTTAAGGTTTTTTTTAATAAAAATGTCTATCATTTCAACCATTTTTGAAGGATTCACATTTAAAAATATTTATATTATTATATAAATCTCTCCAAATAAAAGTCATTGTCTGATAAAAAAAAAGTGCATTGCAAAAGTATAGGTGTATGGATTCTGTTGCAATATTGACACTTTTTTACTAGAATATAAATATATATATATATATATATATATATATATATATATATATATATATATATATATATATATATATATATATTCTAGTAAACCCTTCCCCTCTGTCTGCTCACAATACTTTCCTGTCTGTAACCTCCACTGTCCTATCAATAAAGGTGAAAAAAAACTAAAAAAATAATTACAGATGAAAGCAGAAGTTGACATCTGCTGTATAAAAAGGCACATAATCATTTAAAAATAGAGTCAGATGTTAATGTGTCTAAACTTTTCCTCTTTTAGGTAAGTTAGGATTATCACATTAGTTTCTGTTTAATAACAGAATAATGGGAGAGATATTGTTTGAGAATTTTTTGTAAATTTTCTTGAAAGGCAAGTTTACACACAATAAGATTATTCAGCACTGTTGAGCTGACTGTGAACAATGTTGTGCTTTAATAGTTGTTGGCTGATAATGTGATTTACTGAGGTAAAGTTGGTCTTATATTCGCACTTTCAGATTTTCTCCTTAATAATATCACTTCAGAAAATCATTCTGTGCTAATTCAAAATTGTTAAATCATATTATCATATAATGACAATCAAAGTACAGATTAACAGTCAATTAAACAGTGCTGATGTTGTGTTAAAGTCAATATTACATGCCTTTTTTCAGAGCCGATATTTACAGTAGCCTGTTATTAGTTGTCACAGTACCAAAAGCGAACAAATGTGCAAATATAAAAACAACTTCACCTCAACATATGATTTCACTATTCAGAATTTACACAGAATCATTTTCTGAAGTGATATTATTAAGAAGAAAGTCTGAATGTGTGAATATAAAACCAACTTTACCTCAGTAAGTCATGAGCTACTTTATGCTGGAGATGTTTAGTGAACACACAGATGAACTGAGCTTTAATAAACCGACCTGGCTGTTCCTCAGACTCCTCTTTTTTCACTGCAAGCGCCTCTTCTTCAATCTTCACATCTTCACTCTCCAGTTTAACAGGGTCCATCTTTCTTTTGTCGATTCAACAGTTGTTTTTTCTGTTAGTATTGTTCTGTTAAATAATATAATATCAGAAAGATTTCAGGTAAATCATCGATCAGAGAAAGAGAAAACAGCCTGATAAAACACAAACAGAACTGAACCACCACTACACATTTACAGATCAACACAGACTACTATCACTTCGTTTTGTGATGTATATCTGCTTTAATCTTCATGTAAACGTTTGCAGGGTTTATAAACAGTTGTCGTGACGCATATTTCTGCTAGTCATGTGGATAAACTCATCATAACAGCAGCACTCGTTACTGTTAAAAGCGTTCAAGCGCACTATATAAAGCCTTATCATGTTTAAATGACACATCTCTCAGCGTCACGTGTAAAGGCATTCAACTTTAATCGAGCACTTTACATGAGTTTATCCTCCTCAAAAGCTTTAAAAACACAAACCTTTCTCCTGTGGAGGCACAGACGCACGAGTGCTAATGAGTGCAGCCCGGGCTAATGACGTCACAGCATTACGCCAAAATAAAAGTCCCGATCAATCGCTAACTCCCCACAGCACACAGAAGACATTTAGGTCAGTCATACATGATGACGTTTAGGGTTTCCCAAATATAGTAAAGAACTTTTTGGAGAAGCATTAGAAGGCACTATTATCATATCACTACTATTATGACTACAATATATATATATCTACACATATCAATGATTCTTGAGATATTGGACAAAACATGTCCAGCTATTGTAAAAAGCTAAAAAAATTAAATATGTTCATTTTAAATACATTATTAATAGAATATTTAGCACAATCATCTCCTCTGATTTAATTTGACTATTTATTCTTTGTGGTTCAGTTCTTCACAAGCATTAAAATGAATAAAAATGTTATTTAAATGATGAAGAATATCTTGATAAGTAAATATCAGTTTACCTCTGCACACTATATATATAAATATATATATTTATATATCTGCACACTATATATATATATTCAATTCAATTCAATTCAGCTTTATTTGTATAGCGCTTTTACAATGTAGATTGTGTCAAAGCAGCTTCACATAAATGGTCATAGTAACTGGAACAGTGTGGTTCAGGTTTTAGTGTTTAAGTTCAGTTCAGTTCAGTTTAGCTCAGCTCAGTGTGATTTAATCATTACTGAGAGTAAAAAAATAAATAAAAAGAACAAATAAATGAATAAAAGCCGCTAAGTAAGATTTTTTACTGATAATAATAAATCATTTGTCACAACCAAAACACGTCAACCCCGTCTTCCAGTTTCTGAGGAAAATTATTCATATTTTATTTCAATATTTTTATTGACTTTTTATCCTGAATTTTGAGAAATGATGACAAAAAAAATAGTATTAAACATCTGTAATGTAAATGAGTGATCATTATATAATCAAAACCTTTCATTAAAGCTGTCCTGTTCTTGTCTTAGGAGAATTTAGAAAAGCTTTTATATATATATATAATGGATTTCTAATAGCGAGTATCGATAAACAGATATATTGATTAAAATAAGAGTCTAAAAACACCTTCAGAAATAGAGATATAACACATGTACATTCACATTATGTGCTGCAAACAATAAATAAAAGACAAACTACAACATTTGAACTGAATGTAATGCTGTTTAATGGTTTTCTTGATTTGTCCTCTGGTTAAACATTATTCATTTGTGTGTGCTGTTTCTCTTCACTGTGATCTTCAGTTAGTTTGTTCAGTTAGTTCAGTTTTGCCTTTAGTACTGACTAATATAATGTATAAACACACTTATTAAATATTATTAAACAGTATCTTACAGAAAATAATAATAATACAGCAGAGAGATCTGTATGAGGTGTACTCATTTATATATAAATCTCTGATCTTATTTTATTGGTTCAACATTGCTGTAAATATTCATCAGAGACCTCTCAGATTTCATCTTAAACACCTTCTCTAAATCTTCCTTCAACACACTCGTCTTCAGGACACGCCCACAGTCAGGAGAGTCTCATGAATATTCATGTCAGTGTCCCTCAGTGGAGCCAGTAATATTGCAGGATATACCTGTAGATCACACAGGAGTGTTTTAGTGAAGTGAAAGAGTGAAAGAGCTCAGATTGTGTTCCTGCTGCACAAGAGCGTCTGTACTTCTGCATGTGAGTTTAACACTTCTACATTACGCTGATTTGTGGAGATGATGAAGGGTTTATATGTGTGAGTGTGATTTAAATGTCTGATCCTGAAGATCAAATCCTCAAACACAGATTAAACACTGAGTCAAACACGCTCATTTAAACACTGTGTCTAAAAGCTTTATTTTTAATCCCTTTACAGTGTTTGTGCTCTTCTATATCAGACTGACTCAATAGTGTCCAATAATTCAGCATTAAATATAACTCTAAACATTCAGAGTCACCAAATCAAAAGTAAAGTTAAAGCAGACCTTCAGTTGAACAGGAAGAAAAGCTGAAAAACAACAAGCTGACGATCCTTAAACAACACTGCATTTAACCTTTGACCGTCAGAGTAACTCATTAACCAAAGAGCCTCTTTAGTAGAGAGACATTTTAATACTCACTAAATCAACAATTGGCTGAACCTGAACTTCTCTTGATAAACTCTATATAACATGCATTTACCTTAAATCAAATGTGAAACAGCTGAGATGTCAGATCAGGGTTAAACTAATGCCGAGTTCAGACTGCATGATTTTCAAAGTCATCGTGTCACAGATGTTTTCACACTGCATGACTATCTGGGCCAGCGTTTCGTCGCTGCTTTGTTTACACTGCAAGATGGATCGGCGACAGGGACTTTCACATTGCATGACTTTACTATAGGGAGAATCGCCGACAACTTCGTCCAAACTACGTCTCACAGCCAAAAACACGTCGTATATCTTTTGTTATTAACTACATAATGAGAAAGAAGCCTTTAATGGGGTAGAACATGTACATGTTTGCTCACCTGGGTTTAAAGGGAATTAGCCATTTCTCCTCAACTTAAGTTGATAATAAACTAATTTCTTTCTGTATGAAACGTCAAACAGACACGGGTGCTCCTGAGTCCTGTCAAACCTCCACTAGTTTTTCCTCCATTTCGTGGGTCCAAATAAACCGAAAAAGAGCGCTTTTACCTTCTCCCCCAGCCTCCCGCTGGCCTGCAGCAGGTACACACACACACGCACACACAAGTGAAAGCTGCTCTCTCATTGGCTGTAGGCGATCGCTGATGTTAATTTCAGTCAAAACTCAATTCACACGGCGTGATTTGAATCGCCGACAGCTCCAGATATTCAGCACGCCAAATATCTCACATGCATCGGCGACTCATCGGCGAATCTCTCAGATCGCGTCTTTGAAAGTTCATACTGTGTGATTGTCACTCACGTGCACGAGCAGCGATTTGCCTGTGATTTCAGGCATTTGTCGGCGATTACTCAAAACCTGTCGGCGAGCCAAAATCGGGGCTAAAATCACGCAGTCTGAACTAGGCATTACTGCATTCATGTTAAGGACTATATATATATGTGTGTGTGTATGATTGTTTCCTGAAAGCTCTGCTAATGTCTGCATTGGTGTTTTAGCTGCAGTATGGCAGAGGAGCGAGTAAAGGACTCTCTCTCAGAGAAACACAGGTATTGACTCTGTTTTTACACCATTATTTCAACACTTTCTCTGAAGAACAAAGACCAACAACTTAACACACCTCCTTTATAGACTGTAACACCCTTGAGTCCACAAAGTGGTGCAAACAGATGTGCTATTTTAACAACATGACACAAAACATGAAAATTACAGTTGTGCTGATCTGAAAAAAGCAACAAATCACACTGTTCACCTCTTGCACCTTGTGATTTATATATATATATAAAACTTGGTATAATAAACTTATATGTTTCTGTTATTAGTAATAGTTTGACCCACACACAATCTCTGTGTGCAGAAACACGCTGGTTTTTAACCCACCACTGAGTCTATTTATTTACTAGCGTAAATGTGAGCACATTTATATTATTCAGTTTATAAATTAATTTCATTAATATTATTGACTAATATAACAAATATTCATGCGATTTATTTACAGTACAGTTTGTACAGTAATATTTTCTGTCTTTTAGTCAATATTACACGAGACTCGCTGTGTTTAACAAATATGTGGATCTAAATGGATTTGCATTGTAAACAATAAATAAAACTTTAAAACTTTTTATTTTTATTTCATATCTTAAGTTTTTAGTTATGATACGATTATGATTTAGTTTTAATTTTACGACACTTATAAAAATCATCCTGCATAAATTCTGCTGTAGAATTAGCAAAAGATGTAGAAAAAAGAAAGAAATTGTGATGGGAGAATGCACAGAGCTGTGAGTAAACTGCACATCAATATATTTAATATGACTATTGACTTCAATCAAACACTTTAAATGCAGGAGACACACAAATGACACAGGTCACATGTTCAAAAGAGTATAATAATGATCTGATGGCTATATTGATCTGAAATTTTACTCATGAAACATTTATCTTACACCTTGAACAAAACCTTGAGGTTGTGATGCTCCTTTTCCTCTGGTGTGTTCAGTGTGAGATCAGGATCATGTGTGTCCAGCGCTGTGTCTCTGAAGAGTGACTGGTCAATGGGTAATCCACCAGTATTCAGTGAGAAAACACCATCATCTACTCAAAGGTATTTAGTGCTGTACATTATTGCCCACACATGAACTGTATTTCAGTATTCATCAGGACATTTTTATTAAACTTTATATGTTATAAAGAGTCTCTTTAATAAATTGTGTTCTATAATGTTGGCTGTCTTGGATGTCTCTCTTTTTTACATAATTTCCGAGCCATAAGGTATAAACATGGGGTTTACTCATTGACTCTTTGTGTTGTTGTTGTTCCTGCAGTGTGGATGGAGATGATCAGACTGGAGACCTGCAGCAGGATTCACTCCAACCAGAACATGATGAACTCCAGAGAGTCAAAGAGCAGCACAAAACCAGCATGAAGAACAAGTATGAGAGATTATTTGAGGGAATCAACCATGGAGAGACTCAAACCCTCCTGAACAGCATCTACACACAGCTCTACATCATAGAAGGAGAGAGTGAAGGAGTGAATGAAGAACATGAGGTTTTACAGATGGAGAAAAGAGGCAGAACAAAACCCTCACAACACACTCCAGTCTACTGCAATGACATCTTTAAAGCCTCAGCTGGAGCAGGACATGAGGAGAAGATCAAGAAGGAGAAAGCCCAGATCAAGACTGTTCTCACTAAAGGCATCGCTGGAATCGGGAAAACCGTCTCTGTGCAGAAGTTCATTCTGGACTGGGCCGAGGGAAAAGACCATCAGGATGTAGATTTCATGTTTGTGCTTCCATTTCGAGAGCTGAACTTGATCAGAGATCATCAGTACAGTCTTCACAGACTTCTGCTGGACTTTCATCCTGAACTTGAAGATCTGGAGCCCAAGATTTATGAGCAGTGTAGAGTTGTGTTCATCTTTGATGGTCTGGATGAAAGCAGAATCACACTCAACTTTTCAGATGAGGAGAAAGTTTGTGCTGTGACTGAATCTTCATCAGTGGCTGTGTTGATGCGGAGCCTCCTGAAAGGAGATCTGCTTCCCTCTGCTCTCATCTGGATCACCTCCAGACCAGCAGCAGCCCATCAGATCCCCTCCAGATACATCAAGCGTCTGACAGAGATTCAGGGATTCACTGAGCCTCAGAAGGAGGAATATTTCAGGAAGAGAATCAGCGACGAGCATCAAGCCGGCAGAATCATCTCCCACATCAGAAGAGCAAGAAGCCTCCAGATCATGTGCCACATACCCGTCTTCTGCTGGATCTCCTCCACTGTGCTTCAGATGCTCCTGGAAGAAGATGTGAGTGCAGAAATCCCTCAAACTCTGACTGAGATGTACATCCACTTCCTGCTGATTCAGATCAACATGAGGAAGCAGAAGTATGAAGAGAGAGATCCAGAGAAACTCCTGCAGGCCAACAGAGGAGTGATCCTCAAACTTGCTGAAGTGGCTTTCAGACAGCTGATGAAGGGCAATGTGATGTTCTATGAGGAGGACCTGATTGAGAGCGGCATAGACGTCACTGACGCCTCTGTGTATTCTGGGATCTGCACTGAGATCTTCAAGGAGGAATCTGTGATTCATCAGAGGAAAGTCTACAGCTTCATCCATCTCAGCTTTCAGGAGTTTCTGGCTGCTTTCTTTGTGTTTTACTGCCATTTAACAGAGAACAGAGAACCGCTGAGGGGGATTTATGATGAAGAATATTCATATAATGGATATATCCAGTCCAGCTCTGAGAAGTCTCTGTATGATCTGCTCAGTTCAGCAGTAGATAAAGCTGTCAGGAGTAGTAATGGTCATCTGGATCTGTTCCTGCGGTTCCTGCTGGGCGTCTCACTGGAGTCCAATCAGAGACTCTTCCAGGATCTGCTGACACACACAGAGGAGAGCTCAGAGAACATCAGGAGAATCACACAGTACATTAAAGACAAGATCAAGGAAGATGAACATCTCTCAGCTGAAAGATCCATCAATCTGTTCCTCTGTCTGCTGGAGGTGAAAGATCAGACTCTGGCCAGAGAGATTCAGGAGTTTGTGAAATCAGACAAACACTCAGAGGAGGAACTCTCTCCTGCTCACTGCTCAACAATCTCCTACATGATTGAGATGTCAGAGGAGCCGCTGGATGAGTTAGACTCTAATAAATTCAACACATCAGCTGAGGGAAGACGGAGACTGACAGCAGCTGTGAGAAACTGCGGAAGAGCTCTGTGAGTATTCATTGATTGATCACAGAAGACACACATCAGTCTGCACTGAAGACTCAGATCAGTTTAGTGAATCACTGCCCTGCTTTAACAGAAAATCTTTAGCTGGCCATATCGTCCCCCTGTGAGATCGCTGATACACCATATTACTGCATGGGGACGCGGCGGCAGTGTTCTGTTTCCTTATTTGCTCATTTATTTCAGCATTTCTAAACGTATTGAACAAACTTTTCTTGACTTTTTACTCACACAAACAACATTTGTACTTATTTAATAATCTACTTCATTTGCTTTACAGTTTATCCTGGAAAATAACTCAAATCCCTGTAAATCCCTGTGCTCCTGCAGCTGAATAGGACATTTGTTGATGTGTATTTGCTCAAATCTAACACAGTGTTGCTCTTGGATAATTGTGTTTGTTTTCTGATCAGAGAAATAGTGTAATTTTAGACACAGTATTGCCGTCTCGCCGCAGACATGCCTCTAATATTACATTTACTGTAGGCCTAAACACTAAACTTTACACTGAGCTCAGTAAAATGCTCTCTGATTAGTTATTAATAATCTGTTCAATAATTCAGTACAGTCATATGAATGGGGAAATACAGCTTTAGTTTAGTTTAATGTAGATTCAATCAATAAAAAAATAAAAAGATATTTCTAAATGAATTAAACAGGCTTGTTCTGAGGCATGAGGGTGGTATGAGGGCCCGATGTCCACAAGTGGGGGTTGCAGCCCAACACCATGGTACAACACCATGAGGTAGCCTGACTGCCATTAGGTACCGAGATGAGATCCTCAGACCCTTGTGAGACCATGTACTGGTCTGGTTGACCCTGGATTCCTCCTAATGCAAGACAATGCTGGACCTCATGTGTCTGGAGTGTGTCAGCAATTCCTGCAGTTCACTACAGCTTTGAGTGTGACTCCTAATCCAGTCCTCCATGGGTTAATACATTTGATTTCCAGTGATCATGTCTGTGTGATTTTGTTGTCAGCACATTCAACTGTGTAAAGAACAAAGTATTTAATAAGAATATTTCAGTCATTCAGATCTAGGATGTGTTATTTCAGTGTTCCCTTTATTGTTTGAGCAGTATATATATATATAGTTTATTTCCAGTGTTGCTTTTATCACTGTAGACTGAACTCATGAACACTCAACACTGCTCATTTCTCACTGCTGATTGTGTTGCTGTTTGTCCTCTACACAGACTGCAGTGGTGTAATCTCACTGTTCAGTGCTGTGAGAGTTTGTCTTCAGCTCTACAATCCTCAAACTGTGTGCTGAGAGAGCTGGACCTGAGTATCAATGACCTGCAGGATTCAGGAGTGAAGAAGATCTCTGATGGACTGAAGAGTCAACACTGTAAACTGGACACACTGAGGTAAATGATTCTCCACTCAACAACATTAAAAGTGTTTTGATTGAGATGGAAATGTCCAGATATATTTAAGAGCATTAGTGGAGAAACTGCAAAATGCTGCTTCTCAAATGAAAGTTGCTCTTTTTCTTAATCAGTTCAGGAAATCAGTGTATTTAATGATTATTTTATTTAATTACCTCTAAATCTTTATTTATATTTAATATTTTTAATGATCATATTTATAGTTTATCTTTAAATTGGTTTATTGGAAATATTTATTTAGGAATTTGTCAGATGTTTTGGTCATTCTGACAAAAAAAAATAAATAAAATAAACAAGAGAAGCAATGTGGATGAGGTCTGAGGAGGTTTCTGGACCCGGCAGCAGGGTTGACAGGCTCTGGTCATTTGCATTTTGCAGGTTCATAAATATATAAACTCTCGTGGTCCTCTTATCTAAACTATCTTATCTAAATCTAAATTTTGCATTTTTTTACATTGAACATGTTCAAGAATATATTAAATTACATTTAATATTCAGTTTTATTAAATAACAATAGTCAATAATTCTAACTGACACAAATTCAATAGTTTTGTCATATTATTAACCTCATAGTTTGTTTTTACATCAGATGAATGACTGAAATCACACTGTTAATGTAATCTGTGTTCTTCTTTCTCAGATTGGTCATGTGTAATCTCACTGTTCAGTGCTGTGAGAGTTTGTCTTCAGCTCTACAATCCTCAAACTGTGTGCTGAGAGAGCTGGACCTGAGTAACAATGACCTGCAGGATTCAGGAGTGAAGCTTCTCTCTGATGGACTGAAGAGTCAACACTGTAAACTGGACACACTGAGGTCTGAGTTTAAACACCTGATTGATTGATTGATTGATTGATTGATTGATTGATCGATTGATCGATTGATCGATCGATTTATTTATTTTTTGTTTTGTTACATCAGATCACATTAACAGTGTGTTTTTAGTAATGTGTGTTCTTCTTTCTCAGGTTGGTCATGTGTAATCTCACTATTCAGCGCTGTGAGAGTTTGTCTTCAGCTCTACAATCCTCAAACTGTGTGCTGAGAGAGCTGGACCTGAGTAACAATGACCTGCAGGATTCAGGAGTGAAGCTTCTCTCTGATGGACTGAAGAGTCAACACTGTAAACTGGACACACTGAGGTAAATGATTCTCCACTCTACAATAACTACAGTCAGACAGTTTCATATTAGAGCTCTTCATGCTTGAACATGTTAACCCTGGGTGATACTAAACCCCAGATAACAGGAATTCTGGTTTATCAGTGATTGTGTTTCACACTGCTCATACTATACCTGTAGTTAACCCTCAGGGGTCTGAGGTGATTTTGGGACCCCTGAGATGTTTTGACATGCCCTGACATCTGTGCTTATTTCAGCTGCTTATTACACAGAACTAGCCAACATGTGTTTCATTTGTGTTCAGCATAAACTGAGCTACAATAATATGTGGGAAATATTGATGTTCATGCTTGTGTTTTTTAGAAAACAAATATTATGTGTGGTTACTAGGTTTTAGCGGAAAAAGCTCACTGAATGTGTCTGAACGAGACTTTAGAGTAAGCAGTCTTGTAGACTAGAATATTTACTGCACAATCATGTGAAATTATTCTGTTCTCTCATTCAGAGAAAACATTACAATGATCTACATTTTGTTAAGTGTGTTTTGGGTGATCTCAGCTGTATGTGTGAGTGACAATGCTCATGAATAATTCACACCTGAGAGACA